GGGGCGGGGCGGGTGGCGCGGCTCTTGTTGCTGCTGCTGCTGCTGGCCACGGCCCTGCAGGGCGCGCGGGGCTTCGGCGACGAGGAGGAGCGCCGCTGCGATGCCATCCGCATCTCCATGTGCCAGAACCTGGGCTACAACCTCACCAAGATGCCCAACTTGGTCGGGCACGACCTGCAGACGGACGCCGAACTGCAGCTCACCACCTTCACCCCCCTCAGCTCTTGTTGCTGCTGCTGCTGCTGGCCACGGCCCTGCAGGGCGCGCGGGGCTTCGGCGACGAGGAGGAGCGCCGCTGCGATGCCATCCGCATCTCCATGTGCCAGAACCTGGGCTACAACCTCACCAAGATGCCCAACTTGGTCGGGCACGACCTGCAGACGGACGCCGAACTGCAGCTCACCACCTTCACCCCCCTCATCCAGTACGGCTGCTCCAGCCAGCTGCAGGTGGGTGCTGCCGCCCTCCCTCCTGAAATTTCCTCCCTCTCTCTCTCTCTCTTCCCGCCACCCGCCCTGGATCTCACCCTTGCGAACCACAGCTGGCCATACATTTACATTTCCGCGCCCCTCTTGTGACTCCTATTTCCAGGTGATCTGAAGAAGAGTTCTAGAGAACTCGAAAGCTTGCGTGTGTTGTGCTTGAGCAGGTGGCCCTGGTGCAAATATTGCCCAGCGGTGGATGTTGGCTTTTGCCTTCTGTGCTCTCTTCCTATGGAACAGCCCGGATGCGTTCTTTTCTCTTGCTTTTCCTTTTTTCTCTTCTTTTTTTCGTAATTGCCCCCCGAGGGAGGGGGCGGAGGTTACGGCAAGGCTCCTTTCTCTCAAGCCTGCCCGCGTTCATTCGAGAACAGGTCCTGTTGGACTCTGTGCTCTCCCCCCCCCCTCCGCTTCCCATCGAGAGCTCTTTGGCCCAGGAGGCACTCCCGTTGGACTCGATGGGATTTATTGGCAAGGCTGGAAAGGTCGGTAGACCGCCTGGCTGGTGCCAAATCTGAATGGTGCTGAGTGCCAAGTCGACAGAATAAGCCCGAGCACAAACTTACTCGGAAGGTAACTGAGCAGAACCAAGAAGTCTTGGTTTTCCTAGTGGGGCATAGATTGGTAGCCTTAAGGAAAGGAAGAAAGTCTCCCAAGGGCATGCAAAGAGTGCCTTTCTTTGCACACAACTGACCAGCTCCCCAAGTAACGTGGAGAGAAAAGATAAAGTGTCCCAGCCAAGATTGTGATCTGGTGTCTCTACTTGTGGATTAAGGGCTGGCCCGGGTTCAAGGCTGATTGGAATTAGTGCCTGCTCGACTAGCCATCCAGTTGATAACGATCCTCAATGCCAGAAGACCTGGTATCTACCTTGGGTTGTATTTCTTGGCTGGAGACATGGAGGCGTCACAAAACTAGAACATCTTGGGGCGTCTTAGACTAACAAGTTCTGTCTGGCGTAAGCTTTCATTTATGGCAGTCCACTTGCATCTGAAGAAGCGAGCCACCGTCCACAAAGGCAAATATTTGAATAAAATTCATTATCTTACAGGGAGTCGCAGAACGTTTGGCTGGTCTTCCATCTGTTTGTTAAGGGCAACACTTGCTGCCCATAAATCAAAGTTGCTTGTCTTGTCCTATTTGACATCTTCCATATGTAAGATGAAAAAATTGGGGGGAGAATAGTCGTGGGATCGAGAGGGCTCTCACCCTGTCAGCTCAGCTTCAGCCTTGACTACCCTGCAACACCCTGTAACCAACCGCGTTGGCTTCGCACCAACGTGGGGATGAGGAAGCAGTGAGTCCTCCATAGTTGCAAAACACATCCAGTTGGGACCAAAGAGAAAGCTAATCCACTTGTGGGTGTTTCCAGACAAGAGGCTTTGCGGGGATCAGGTGTGTCGGAGTCTGACGCTGGCAAAGGCTGCAGGGAAAGAGAAAAAAGCTGGTTCAAATGGGTGATTGGAAGGGGGGCTGAATGGAGATCCTACTCCATGAGGAACACCCAGGTCCAGCTGCCGATCAGAGTCAGGTTTCTGTTTGTGTGTCGAAACGCTTGCCCCTTTTGGCTTCTCCTTGGCATCTTCCTTTCTCCTCTCCAGTGCTTTGCTGGGCAGGGAAGCAGTTTCTTTTTTTGGGGGGGGGAGGGAGCAGAGGGAGGACTGAGCCTTCCAGAACATCCCAACCAGCACCTGATCCAAAACTTCCCCAGGGCTCTGGAACCGATTGCCTGATTTATGGGGCTGGGTCATCGGAACCAGCCCCAGGCCCCATTTGGGAACGTGCCCAACATCTTATTGCTTAAACATTCTCAAAACTGAGCAATTTGGATAATTCGGACTCTCCAAAGCCCCAGACAGCTGTTGTGAGTTGAGTAAACCCTTTGAGTAAGAACCAGTGTTAGTGTAGCAGTCGAACAGGCAGAGGGTCTGGCTTCAAATCCCTGAATGGCTACGGAAATTTTACTGTAGGGAGCAGTGGCGAGCCATTCCTTGAATGTCTTATGCGCCTCAAAATCTTGATTAGGTCACTGTAAGTTTTTAGCAACCTGTTGGTATATAAGGTGACAGCAGAGAATTCTACGCACTTCACTAAATAGGGAGATTGCACGTCAATGCCACAACCCACGGTGTTCTCCCCCAACTGCCCCGTAGAACCTCACGGAGGGATCAGGGAGTCCTGCCACAGTGCAGTTTTAAAAAAACCTAACTTGTTGCAGTCCACCCTCAGTCTTAGCCACCCCTCAGCCTTGGCACCACCTGGCACAAAAATGCAGTGAACGGCGGCTGACATTCAGAGCAGAGGAAAAAAAGGGTTTCAGCTGAAGGGCGTAAAAGAAGCAATCACACCTTGGACTTACTTATACTGTACATTTTTTGGGTGGGGTGGGAAGTGCAGATAAGGAAGGTGACAATCAGATGGTTTGCAGAAGCTTTGGGCTTAAAAAAATAACCTTATAAATTCTCCTCTTCCGAGGTGAAGAGAATAGCAGGTGCCTCTTGAAGCCTCACTTCCTGGCTGGAAATTCTACCCCAGTGTTTTGGTTTCTTCCCGTTTAAGGTTAAACCACCCTGGGATGTTCATGACTAATGGAAGACTCACAGGTCAGAGTTGCAGAAATATATTTGCATCGCTCTGCGTGTGCATGTTTAAGCAGAAGAGTTAATCACCTCTATATCCTCATGGCCTTCCTCCAAGCAATTGAAAGCAGTGTGTGTGTGTGTGTGGAACTCCCCACCACTCTGTTTTATGCGCACAACACCCTTGCAAAGGAGGCAATGGCGCAGGGTCACTGAGCTTTGTGAGAAACGGAGATTTTGGATGCAGGTCTCCTCCATCCTATCCTAGTGCACAAATAACGAGGAGGATGACAAACGTTGTAAAAATGTCACCACATCATCGTTTTCTCAGTCTTGATAAGGGAAAACCCAAAGGGCTTCTGAAGGAAGTAGCCCTGAGCAAACTTTTCCATTTGTGTGGATCTTGAGATAAGAAATCAGGAGGGGCCTGAGATGTCCTGCAAGGCCCCAAGGCAGTTTTCAGAACTTTACTTACTTCTTCCTCTCTCTTCCTCCTCACCTTGGCTCCCCTCCAGTTCTTCAGGAAAGTCTTATCTCAATGACTGTCTACATGGCTGGCTACAGGAATGACCCTTAGATGGATTGTTACGCATTGCGGCTCTGACTGGGTCTTTAATCCTTACTTGTGTTCACCATCCCTCAGAGTGGTATTCGTTTGTTCCTCTTCAATATTTTCATACTTATTGTATTGTCTTTTAATGATTCACGCAGCCTCTTTCTATTCATTGTTCTTAGCTTTCAATATTTTCTTTTAATGATGTAAACCACGGTTGTCTACTCATTGTTTTCAGCTTTAAGGATGTCAGCAGCCTTGGGTCCATTTTAAGGAGAAAACGTATTTTAAAATAAATCAACTTTACACACGAAGTCCAGAGAAGTTGGCTTGGCCCCACGAACCAAAACACTGGGAGAGGAGGCAGAGGGGGAAATGGTTTCAGATAATCAAGTCCTCCCTCCCTTCTGGCAGCGTAGAAATTTGGACTGGAGAGAACCGCTCCAAATTGGAGTTAGCAAACAACTATGCCAGTTATTTTCACCCCAGTTGGAAAGAGGATCTGAAGATGGAATGTTCTGCAGAAATGGGCAACTGTACAGCCTCTCAAGCTTTGTGGATGGCGAATAAAATTATTTGTATTCCTTCTCTTTCTCTCTATGGCTGTATGTGCACGCCACTGGAAATAAGATTGCTAGCTATTGACACTTTTACTAGCCCACATCTATAACGTGTGGTCTTAAAAGAGAGACAGAAGCACTTCTCTGAAGCATCTTTACCTACTTACCTAAAAAAAGAGATCACACCAATATTGTAACGTTGTTGTGTCCCGATGTTGCCTCTGACTTAGGGTGATCCTATGAATGAGCCCTCTCCAAAATGTCCTATCCTTAACCGTGCTGCTCAGTTCTTGTAAACTACAACTCGTGGCTTCTTTTAGGGGCTTAGTCTTTCTCATATTTCGTCTCCCTCTTTTCCTGCTGCTTTCCACTTTTCCCAGCATTATTGCCTTTTCCAGAGACTCCTCTCTTCCCAAATTAGTGATGTGCCCAAGTTAGGACAGCCGCAGTTTTAAAACATTTTTGCCTTCAGAGCTTCAATAATGAGCCGCTCGTTAATTATTTGCTGCTGACAGGTGAAGTGGGTGGCTCACTAATGGCCTGATATTTTCTCTTTGAAATACCTACCAAGTGGAGTTGCTAATTTATGTGGTTTGATACAGAGACCAAATTATCACTTCTTTGTGGTTCTAAGATAGACGATTTGGCTGCCGGCTCCAAATGTGACCTTTGCTCAGTGATTCATTTTATGGGTTTGGGCAAGGGACTTCTTCTCAGCTTCAGTTCCTGTTTGTAAAATGGGGACAGTTAGACTGGTAATCCCTTCGCACGTTTATTTCTAGCAATCACCACACCTTCAGAATTTTGAAAAAACTCTTCTCTGGTTTAGTTGTATATGGCTGTTTAAAAATACAGTATATATTTCACTTTAATTCCTTGTTAACGCTTCCTTGATTTGGCTTTTCTGGAATCCAAAACATATTTACAAGGACTAAACCCCCCCCCACCCCCACAGAATAGCAGGATCTACTTCTAAGTGAACATGTGTAGGATCATGCTATGCAAAAATGAATACAACAGGAGCTGTGTTTGTCTGAAAAACCTTTATGGTGCCTCACACCCTTTTTGGCATTAAGCAAGAATTTAATCATAATGGTTTTGCAATTCTTTGGCTCTGAATTGATCCCGGTTTGATTCCAGCCTAAAAAGAATCCAAGAACTATTTCAGGTTAAGTATGTGAGTCTTTATGATGCATGCACTTCATTCTTGTAATAGGTTCAACACAGAGATTGGAAATATTACATTTTTGGATGACAGCTGCTGGAAGCTGCTAGAATTGGCCATCCTGGCTGTGAGAATTCGAGGAGCTGAAGTTCGAAAAGTAACTTTTCTATGCTGGTTTAAAGGCAGTCAGGAACACTTCTGGATAGATCAGTGATGTAGGTACCTGTGGAGCCAGAAGTTGGGAGTTTGATTCTCAGTCTACTGTGCCTCCATAGGATCCCTTCCAGCTCTGCAGTTTTGAGATTTATAGAGTCCATAATGTTGCTGGACCCTTCCATTCCATGTTGAATTTTGGGTGCCCCCATTCTGAATACTCCTTGTGTGTGTTTCTGCATGCAAGCATATGAAAAAGAACTCCTTGCATGTAGAAATAGCACATTGGGGAGAAAATCCGTCTAAACTGGTCAACATGCAATCATTTCTATGTTGCTGTGGGTTTTTCGGGCTCTTTGGCCGTGTTCTGAAGGTTGTTCTTCCTAACGTTTCGCCAGTCTCTGTGGCCGGCATCTTCAGAGGACAGCACTCTGCTTCTGGTGGTGCGTTAGCGGACCCCGGCCACAGAGACTGGTGAAACGTTAGGAAGACCAACCTTCAGGACACGACCAAAGAGCCCAAAAAAACCACAACAACCATTAGATCCTGGCCGTGAAAGCCTTCGCGAATATAATTCTATGTTGTTCATCTGCAATTCCCACCATCCCCCACCGCTGATGCCCACGACCAAGGCTGATGGTAATTGCAGCCTAACAACATGAGGGTTGTGTGTGTTCATCTTGTCTTGTTCTAAATAAACTTTTCTTCTTGATCATATTAATGTCATAAAGGTAGATTTGGAACACTAATGCAAGGGGAACAATATATGATCCCTACATCTAAAGCCAAGTAGCAAAGCCTAGGGAAAACTTTGTAATGCACATATCAACTGACCCCTGGTAATTGTAAGAACTGAAGTTTTTTAGAATTTATAAACCGATGGTGCATTCGCTGGTATTGATGGAATGAATCCAGCGTGCGCATGATGTTGTTATGCCTTTATTTGAATTTATCCTCCGGCATCATATTTTGAATTTTGAGTTCATGCATATAAAAACACTCCTGTTCAGCTTTCAAGAACAATGTCCTGCTTTGTTGTTGTTGTTGTTGTTTTTGATGCACCATTAAAACAGAACAGATTATAGCAACCTTAATAGGGCTTTCAAGGTCAGTGAGATATTTAAGGAGTGGTTTTGCCAGTTCCATTCTTCCACTGAGTTTCCATGGCTGAGCGGGGATTTGAACCCAGGCCTCCTGACTCTTCCTTCATCACTCTGTCTTGCTGTGAGCAATCATGTCCACAGGGCAAAGCCTTTTCTTGATTATTAGGGGAGCTAAAACACCAGGAAAAAAGTGTGTGTGCTTTAGAGATCCCCAGAACTCCGCAGCAGGTGCTAGACTGGTGAAGAGTTCTGGAAAGCTTGAAAGCTAGCACATTCTTTGGTGATATCTTAGTAATAAATGTATCACAGCATTTTGTATTTTGTGGATTTTCTAGCCCATCCCTTAAGCCAAGGTGGCTATCTTTGAAAATCCTGAATCCCCTGAGTGTTGATTTTTTTTTTAAAGCAAAGAACGGAGAGGCCTATACAGTGGTGCCTTGCTAGACGATGATAATCCGTTCCACTGAAATCGCTGTTTAGCAAAATCATTGTCTAGCTAAAAACATTTCCCCATTGGAATGCATTGTAACCTGTTTAATGTGTTCCAACGGGGAAGAATCGTCGTTGTCTAGTGAAGATCGGCCATAGGAAAGCTGCTTTGCGAACTGCCTATCAGCTGTTTAAATCACTGTCTTGCGAAGCTTAGGTCCCGAAAACACCTGTTTTGCGAGCACGGAGGGAGCTGTCAAAATCGTTGTCTAGCAAAAATCGGTTTGCGAAGCAGGGACCAAACATTGTCCAGCAAAATTCCCCCATAGGAATCACTGTTTTGCGAATCGCTATAGCGATTGCAAAAAGCCAATGTCTAGCAAAAAAAACTGTCATGCAGGGTAACTATCTAGTGAGGCACCACTGTACTGCCAAGATTTGGATATAGTCTTCCCTTGGTATGCATTGCCACATATCTTAAGAGAGCATGGTGCACGTTTGACTGAAATCTTCCTTGTCGTCTTTTCTTCTCCAGTTTTTCCTGTGTTCCGTCTACGTCCCCATGTGTACAGAGAAGATCGACATCCCGATCGGACCATGCGGGGGCATGTGCCTTTCCGTCAAACGGAGATGTGAGCCAGTCCTGAAAGAATTTGGCTTCTCCTGGCCGGAGAGCTTGAACTGCAGCAAGTTCCCACCTCAGAATGACCACAACCACATGTGCATGGAAGGCCCCGGCGATGAGGAAGTGCCGCTCCACAGCAAAGCCCCCTTGCACCCGGGCGAAGAGTGCCATGGCCTCGGCTCGAACTCGGAGCAATACATTTGGGTCAAGCGCAGCCTCAGCTGCATCCTGAAGTGCGGCTACGATGCCGGCCTCTACAGCCGGTCAGCCAAAGCGTTCACAGATATCTGGATGGCTGTGTGGGCCAGCCTCTGCTTCATATCCACTGCCTTCACCGTCCTGACCTTTCTGATCGACTCCTCTCGGTTTTCCTACCCCGAGCGCCCCATTATATTTCTGAGCATGTGCTACAATATTTATAGCATTGCTTATATTGTCCGGCTGACCGTGGGCCGGGAAAGGATATCCTGTGATTTTGAAGAGGCGGCAGAACCTGTCCTCATCCAAGAGGGCCTCAAGAACACCGGATGTGCTATAATTTTCTTGCTGATGTATTTTTTCGGGATGGCGAGCTCCATCTGGTGGGTGATCTTGACGCTGACGTGGTTTCTGGCAGCTGGACTCAAATGGGGCCACGAGGCCATTGAGATGCACAGCTCCTATTTCCACATCGCCGCCTGGGCGATCCCAGCAGTCAAGACCATCGTCATCTTGATCATGAGGCTGGTGGATGCAGATGAGCTGACCGGGTTGTGCTACGTCGGCAATCAGAACCTGGACGCCCTGACGGGCTTTGTGGTGGCTCCTCTTTTCACTTACTTGGTGATCGGCACCTTGTTCATCGCCGCCGGCTTGGTGGCCTTGTTTAAAATCCGGTCCAACCTTCAAAAGGATGGGACCAAAACGGACAAGTTGGAGAGGCTGATGGTGAAGATTGGGGTCTTCTCGGTGCTCTACACCGTCCCGGCCACCTGCGTCATCGCTTGCTATTTCTACGAAATCTCCAACTGGACAATCTTCCGCTACTCCGCCGATGATTCCAACATGGCCGTGGAGATGCTGAAGATCTTCATGTGCCTGCTGGTGGGCATCACGTCGGGCATGTGGATCTGGTCTGCCAAAACATTGCACACGTGGCAGAAGTGCTCCAACCGGCTGGTGAACTCGGGAAGGGTAAAGCGTGGGGAGAAAAGAGTGGATGGCTGGGGGAAGCCCGGGAAAGGGAACGAGACCGTGGTATAAACAAAGACTAGGCAAAGCTGTTGGTCAAGGTGTCTTTTTCTCTGTGTCTGATCTGAGATGAGTAGGTGGCGCTTGGAACACCATGATTGTCCATTGTGCCTGGGGAAGGAACGGCGCAGAATTATTGTGTTTTTGCTGAATGTGAGGAGATTGGGTAGAGAAGGCCTGCATGACAGGAAATAAGTCCTTCTGCTACACCTAGCAGAACAGAACTTCTGCAGAAGAACCCGTAGAAGCCCCCGTTGGCTTCAAAAAGCTGTGAAAACACAACTCAGAACCTTTTGGACTTCTGATGGAAAGCCGCGTCCTTGTGTCTCAAGGAGTTGTGGAACTTTGCACCTCCTAATAACGCACAACGTGCCTTCTCTCCCTGTCTCCCTCCCTCCTCCTCACCCTCTTCCAGGTCATATTTTTAGCAGTGTCTCCTCATGTCGTGAAGGAAAGAATTCCGAGGGCAGATTTCTCAGCTTCTGGGGACTTGGGATCTCATTACACTGAGGCCTGTCACTTGGAAGAGTCAGAAGCTTCCATTCACTCTTGGTTCCAAAGCTATATTAGGACAATTTATTTATTGATGCTTCTGAGTAGGCCAAACGACATTGCGGGAAGGGATGTGCAAGCTACTGGATGCTGCAGAGTTCTTCCATGTGGATAGAGAGTAAACCAAGGAGGTGGGAGAGGGTAATGGTGGCTGTTGGAGCCTGTTTTTAGTCACAGAAAGTGAGAGGATTTAATAGACCTTCAGCTGAGGGTTAGCAACATACTGTAATGGTCCCAGTTGCACCCAGAATTCTTCCTTTGAGTTGCTGGGATAAAGAAATCACAAAATGGTGCCCTTGTGTTTTTTTCAGAATACCGTATTTTTCGCTCCATAAGACGCACCTCTCCATAAGATGCACCAAATTTTTAGGAGAAGAAAACAGGAAAAAATAATCTGTTTTCTTCTCTTAAAAGTTGGTGAGCCTTATGGAGAGGTCCATCTTATGGAACACACCCTAGGACCCTTTGGAGGCTCACCCTGCCCCCCCCCGGGGTCATAGGGGGCGAAATCGCCACCTTCTGGGACTCTTCTGAAGCTTCCCAAGTCTCAAAAGAGTCCCAGAAGGTGGCAATTTCGTCCCCTCTGGCCC